TAATTGGCTGGGTAGATTAAATACATGACATGGAGACGACTTGTTGACTCCACATTGCCCATGTCTGACTCTACATGATGCACCATCAGGCTTAAAGTTGGCCCGATCTGCCCGGCTTTAGGCAGACCTGTGAAGACACAGCTGCAGGGATCAATGCTATTAAAGCTGAACGAAGCAGCAATTAGTTTATCAACATTAATCCTGGAGATGTTATATAGTTCAGAGGCCACAGTTTGATGTAGAAAAATTAACAGACTTGTCTGAATAGTTATGGTGGCTTCTGTTGTCTATATAAATCTGACTAAAGGCTGATTTATAGACCAGGTCATCTGCGTGTGTTGCAGTTAACGTAACACAGACACTCTGCTGCACCTCCCCCAAATTGTAGGTGACCGCAGACAGTGCCGCAGACGGGAGGCCTCTGATTGGTCAAATCTACATCCGCTCTGCACTATGCGTACTTCCTGTTTGGTACCTTACCGGCTTGTTTTGTTTGTATGACCGCCATTGTGGAGAGTAGATATTGAATTGGAGGGGCCCTAAGATGGACCCTTGGGGGACGCCACATGGGATTCTTGTGATCTCTGATGCAAAGTTATCTGGTGATACAAAAAAGTTCCTGTTCTTCTAGTAGAATTTACAATAAAATCCATTAAAAAGTGCTTTTTGTTGTTTTTATTAAATGTATTTTGTGCAACTGATTGCACTACTATCCTGTAGCAACAAAGTCTTGTGTTCAAATCCCAGCCAAGTCTTTCAAATACAAGGTTGCGTTTTCTCCTTGTGGATGTTTGGATTCTCCCCAGGTACTATGGCTTCCTCCAACAATCCAACCGTTAGATGAATTAAAGTATAGCATGTGTCCTTATGATAGTGTCTCCATGTTAGCCTGTGATGGACTGGATGAGCAATGGATGGATATATCTGTAGAGAACATCACTTTCTGTGGAATACACAACAAATGTTTATATGAAATCTAAGAAAAAGCAGCACCTGGTTTTCTCTAATAAAGCTGATCTGCTGTCGCCTTTACATCTTATCCAGTCTGCCCCTCCTCCTGTGACACCAACAATACAACCATAGAGACGGTTTTCAGTTAAAACCCCAGTAGATCATCAGTGTCTGTAACTCTTGACTGACTGGTCTCCCACCAACAGCCTCACAGTTAATGAATTCTCTGTATGTCTGTTTCAGCTTGGGTGGGCTCGCTGTCCATGGGGATGATCTTCTTCTGCTCCCCCATCGTCAGCATCTTCACAGACATCTTCGGCTGCAGGATAACTGCTGTGGGTGGTGCTGCTGTTGCCCTGATCGGCCTCATGGCCAGCTCCTTTGTCAAGTAAGGAAACGGGACTTTTGAGAGAATGAAAGTGCAAAAAATATGGGATTAAAGTCAATCAGAGATGCTGTGCCTTCTCTCTAAAAAGAAAGATTCTTCTGGCATGTTTCTAACATCAGCTGCAGTTTGAGGTTCAGATGAACTGAATGATGGTTTTAAGACCGACTATATGGGGAAAATCTGTATTTAAAGATCATTTTCAGTTAATGTTAACCCCTGACTTCGCCTCTTTCTGAACATCTGAAAAAATCAAACATTAACTCCATTTTGTCCAAGTTTAGTAGCCATCTCTGCTTTTAGATTCCGCCTTACAGCCAGCTGTCTCTATGCACTAACATTAGGCTGTTAATCATTCTCCAGGAGCTCACGCTCCTCTGCACGTGAGGTTTCAAAAAACTGCTGTGTAATTGTTTTTAGGTGCACTGAATAACTCATAAAAGCATCAAATTACTGTTTATCAGGTGACTTTCTGAAAGGCAGGGCTCTGTGAACGATAGCAGCTGAGGTCTGCAGAGGAACTTCCATCTTTTTACCCCAATGTGGGCCATAAATGTTCATTTCTGACCTCTCATTAGAGTAGTAAGGACTTTATTTTCCAAATATTTCTCTTAAACATAACTTTTCATATGAAAGCTTTTTGATCCTATTTTGAAATATATTGTTATA